TTCTTTACAATGAGGGTGGTGAAACACTGGAACAGGTTTCCCAGAGAGGTGGTGGAGGCCCCATCCCTGGAGGCATTCAAGGCCAGGTTGGATGGGGCTCTGAGCAACCTGATCTAGTTAGCGGTGTCCCTGCTCACTGCAGGGGGATTGGACTAGATGACCTCTAGGCGTCCCTACCAACCCGAAACATTTTATGATTCTATGATTCCACACACAGCATTAAAACACCGCATGACCAGGCACATCTTGGTTAAAAACTTATGTTCATAGTGGCAGTTACATACTACACAAATGTAAATAAAAATACATACGAGGACTCCGTATTTGTTGTTTTCTTATTGCTGGACCAATATTCAATTTCTTATCCTTATAACTAAGTTTTTTTGCCTAGAATTAAAGAAAAAAAAAAAAAAAGACATTCAGTATGTGCATTTTCTACACTTATCTAGGCTTCCAAGAAACAAAAGTCAGAAGTAGACAAGGCACTTTGTAGGTTTCATCTTTCCCCGCTTTTTATTTGCGGTGCATCTCAAAAACCCCAAAAGCTATTTCAATCTAACCTTAGACTTCACACAGACAAAATTAATCATCAGTAATTTCAAGCATTACTTACTCCTCATGGAGCCTCTTAACTAACAACTGATACCTGTAATTGTCAGCAGATTTTATTAGTTTTATCTTCCTCATGTATTCACTGCTTTTGTAAAAGCACATGCATACACAAACTGACAATTTCAAGTCCAAGGATTAAATTTATTGTTTCATGATCATGACATTATTTTACGAAAGATGACAGGAACAAGTCAGTCTATGAAAATGCCCAGATTACATGGGCTGAATGTAAAAAAACCCCATATTCACTCAGGACTGCCTTAAAACTTCCTTATATAAAAGCACACTAAAACAGATACTCTCATAAGCCTAAAAGATTACAGGCTATTTTTTTAATAAAAAAGTGCTAGGTACAGAGAGTAAAGCTACATCCTCTTCCAACTGTTTGGCTTACAACAGAAAGCGAGCATCAGGTCTATCAGGTAAATTAAAACCTTGGCTTTGTTTTTAAATTGACACTGAACTCACTACTTGTTAATATAGTGGAAAGCAATAGTGTACATCAACCCTCATTTTTTTAGTTGTCAGCATCTCTTTAATGCTGCTTTGCAAAACCTCAAAGGGTTCTTCTGAAGGCCTGCTTCTCTGAGCAGCTACATAAGGGAGAATGTGCACTAAGTACTACCACATTACACCATGAAGTCTTCATGTTTCAGAGCTGTAACTTCTTCAGTAACGATATAATGACTTCTTAAAGAGGAACATAGAAAGAAATACAGTTCTAAATCACATTCAACAGAAGGACAACAGTTAAGCAATCAATGTATTTTCTTCATTTAAGCCCAATTTAGCAAAGTACTGGAACAGCTGTACATAATGCAAAGTCCCACCTATCAGATTTAAAGCTAGGAAGAGGCTAAACTATTTTGTTGGATCTGGGACTTCATAAATTATGAAGTACTAATTATGTCAAATATACCTACCATGCCTATTAAACACAAAGCAACTCCTAGAAAACAGATGTGCATTTCAGTCAAACAGCATTCTAACAGATAATAGGAAGATGATTCTTCCCAATGTAATGTATTTCATGGATGTGATCAATCAGAATTTAGACTTTTTTGTATACAACTTTCAGTTAAGAGAAATACCTAATCTGTATGGACTTCCTCAAAGCATTTAATAAAGCACTGCATGAAAAATTACACATGATGCTACAGAAAGTGGAGACTAATAGGACAAACTGTGGTGTATAAAAAATTACTTCAGAAAGATGGGAAGAGGTAGCATTAGTAGTAACAGCATATGACTGGAAAGAGGATCCTGGTGAAACTCCTCAAGGTCTGTTCTCGATACTAACGCAATTTAATATTTTCAAAGAAAACACAGAAAAAGAAATTTCTGGAGATATTACTCATGATAGAAAAGTAGGATGCAAAAAACCAACAGTGCAAAGGTTATCAATAATCAAATACCAAATAAATGAGAAGAAATTCAAGAGTACAAAATGAAAAAATCATTCATTTCATATGTAAATTATTAAAGCCTAGAAACTCTCAGCTTAAGATGTCCAAGAGAGACCTAGATGCTAATTGATCTTAAGATTAATATGAGAAGGCAGTATGATACAAAGATGAAAAAGGTGATAGAATTGTAGGACATCTAAATTAAAGCAGTTATAGTAGACAAAGATGTATTAGTACCACTGAATGAGACACCAGGAAGACTTCACATGGAGCAGCCTTTCAGTTACAATGGAGGCAAAAATCCTAAGCCATTTTCACAATGGTACTCAGTACCATTAGTATTCTTACAGTTCACAGAAATAAAACAATAAAAAAAACAAGGGAAGAAAAGTAGCTGACTCAAGAAGTTCCTGTCTGTAGGCTTTTCTGGCTCCACATAACCATATTTATATATATAGTGGCCCCTCACTACAAGAAAGATGTTGCGTTGCTGGAACATGTCCAGAGGAGAGCAACCAAGCTGGTGAGGGGTCTGGAGCACAAGTCATACGAGGAGCGGCTGAGGGAACTGGGGTTGTTTAGTCTGGAGAAGAGGAGGCTGAGGGGAGACCTGATCGCTCTCTACAGTACCCTGAAAGGAGGCTGTGGTGAGGTGGGGGTCGGCCTCTTCCTCCTGGTAACAGATGATAGGACAAGGGGGAATGGTTTGAAGTTGCACCAGGGCAGGTTTAGGCTAGACATTAGGAAAAACTTCTTCACTGATAGGGTTGTCAGGCTCTGGAATGGGCTGCCCAGGGAGGTGGTCGAGTCCCCATCCCTGGAGGTATTTAAAAAAAGGACAGATGAGGTGCTTAGGGACATGGTTTAGTGGTGGGATGGCAGGGTTAGGTTAAAGGTTGGACTTGATGATCTCAAAGGTCTTTTCCAAACAAAGTGATTCTATGATTCTATTTTTTGAAAACACTGAAAGTGTCTTTGAAAATGTCCCGACTCGTTTTGAATTTTAATGCATGAATTTCCAACAAAGGCTCAGTATTTCAACTTTTTAACCAGCTTTATACTTCGGAGAAGGCAGTTTGCAAGCCTTGGATACTATTTTCTGGGTTCTTTCTCCCCACATCTGGATACCTTTGCGTGCATGAATAGATCCTGACCAACAGATGTCTCCAATATATTCCAACCAGAACATGGAGCACACATTTGGAAAAACAAACAAAAAACCAAAACAAACTGAAGAGCTAACATACAGCTGAAGAGCTAACCATATCTCAAGGGAGGTTCCACAAGGAACGCCAAGACAGTAATGTAGCTAAGAGAAGAAGCAATAATTACATGACATAAAATGAGCTTCATTGTTTAAGACTTCAAGAGAATCTAATTATTCCTGAAAAGAATTATGTCAGCTCTGACAATCAACCATGTCGGAATAAAAGACAGCAATGGATCTTCTAGTAAAGCAAGTGAAAGCAACTGTGAGGGATAGAGTCTTTATAGTTCTATATGTACCATAGATCACATATAGACTAAGAAAGTAAGGACTATGTCAAAGTCAAGAGCCCTACTATGAACTGGCAACTCCCTTCCCTATTTCCAGAAGATCTCAGTATAAATCTTACCTTGGATGTCTCTAAGCCATCTCCTTAACTATGCAGACCAAACTTAACAGGTCCTCAAATACAAGTTGGCATACAGAAGATGATCAGACAACCAGAGCTACTTAAGCATCCAACATGAAATGAAGTACTTCATTTAAGAGATAATCCTAATAGGGGCTATCGCTTACCTCTTGTAAAATCTTCTGTGCATCTTCTTGGCATTCAAAAGTAACAAAGCCATACCTAAATAAAAGTTACCAAAGTTAAGTTTCTGAAGTTCATATTTATGTACATTGCACATTATTACTTCATATACAGTACAAGTGACATTAAAGGGTAAACCAATGGGGGGGGAATCAATCATAGAAATAAAGATTGCAGTAACAGCTGTAATCTTCATTTAACATCCTTGTTATAGTCTACTTACTAATATATTTATGTACATCATCATATATTACTGTTTCTATGCAGTGAATGAGTAGCCCATGTAGAAAGCTATGCAAAACTCTATTGTCCTTGTTACTCAGTGTGCATCTTTAGTTCCTTCATTTCTATTAAACAAACAGATTTTGATCTGAAGCTCTCACTTGTTATGGGTGCTCAAGATGAGACACTTGGGATGTTTTGGGTTTTTTTTATACTGTACTCCATAGCACAGCTCCCACCTACTTCAGCAGCAACTGTGAATGCTCCACACCTCTGCAAGCACTATCCAGTACATTAAATCAAGTTCTCAGAAAAAGCAGCAATGCAGAGATAGTGTTTATCTGAATTATTCTTGTAATTCTTGACATGACCAGCATTAAACAAGAGTTCTGTGGTGATCAAGGACGAAGTATTCTCATACTTCGTGACACGGTATGTCTCTTTCACCACACCTCTAACTGCTGCAACAAATCAAACTGGCTTTCTACACAAAACTCCTGCTGTACCAAAACACCTCAATTAATTCTCAGAAATCTAGGCTACTGAACGTGGCACTGCCTGTGCAAAAGTAAGTATCTGATCTTATAATTAGTCTGTACCAAAACACATACGTACAAAAAAAGGATTTTTTTTTTTTCCAAAATTAACTCCGAGTATCAACAAATGCCTTTTTGAAACATTTTAGTAGTTTTAGATGCATAAGTTCTTAGATCTGTAGCTCATTTCTCATGGTCATATTTCAGAAGATACCAAGAAGGCCTCTGTCATCCCAGCCATCAGACCAAGTTTTGCAATGTAACATATCATTCTTTGTTAGCATTTCTGTGCTTATTTGAATACAGAGGTCCAGTAAGTCTCTGACCAGCTATACTTTTAAATCCGTGGTCTTTTCCTGCATCGCCTTCCCTAAGCGAATTTAGAAACATTTCCAAGTTCAAAGAACACAGAAACTATTTTCCTAGCTTGGGAGTTTACCTATACAGACTTTTCATTCTATGTGCTACCCGGACAATAAACTAATAGACATAACTATACAAACTTTTAAGTTTCTTAAATCACTTGTCAATAAGAAGCAATGGAGCCTGTACTTGGATTTCAACAGAAATCCCAACACCACTGAAAGTAATTCTTTTCCAACATATTTACTGAGACACATATGTGAGCGATTACAACTTCATAATAATTGGATATTCTTGGATTATTGTATTATATGAACAGACGTACTGCAAATCTCAGGTATTTCTTGGCATTTAGTAAAAGGGTAAGAGGCTTGGTGATGGATCTGGGACCAGGACCAAGTCCAACATGCCATGCAGGTGTATACTCTATGCTAAGACCTGCAGCTCAGTGTGTAAATTGCTGATGCATGTAAAGTGCTGACAGCATTAAAATGATGAGATTCAGACACCACAGAGAAAAGAACTTCTGACCATTTGAACTGTACAGGTACAAGTTCTCATGCACATTCCTTTTTTCTTCAGCCCCTTCTACCCATTGGTGGCAGTACAGTTCCCTACCTTATTTCGTTCACCATCCTTTGGGTTCTAGCAATAACTTTACTACCCAATCTTAGTATTTCTCCAGATTTGCTCTTTGGCATTTCTACTGTTGCTGACTTCCAGCCTTAGTTCCCTTTTCTGCAGTCATGATTCATTGTCAGATTCTTCCCCTATGTTCTGGTTCCAAAAATCTTCACATAAAATCTCAGTTTGCACACACTCCAACAGAGTTAGGTATACCTCACCTCTTCCTCCATTCTTAGACTCCTTTCCACACTGGCTTTCAGTAGTAGAAATATGTATGTTTAATAACTAAATTACTTTTCCAGGATTACCTACTGAAATTATTACTGTCATAAAAAATCCCCGAGAAGACTACTGATTTTTTTCTAGTTGCACATAGCTTCATCTTGTATTATAACATGAGTTTTACAGTTATGCAAATTAAATACATTTACATGTAGATGTTAAAGGACAAGAACAGATTTTTGCATACATAGAATAACTAGGAACATCAGTGACATAAAATTGATAATATTCTGAGCTATGAAAAGCATAATCAAATTTACTATAGTCAGCCATTTTTCTGTTACATTTTCAATTCCTACAACATGCTTATTCTACTATACCAACCCCTTTGATACTCCAGCTCTGTCATTTACTATCTTCACTTCTTTCACACTGCCATACTGAGCAAAAAACTTCCTCAGATCATTTTCGTTAGTCTAGTACAGTAAATCAAGAGAGGGAGAAAAAAAAGAAGAGTTGGTTTGCATAGTTATTCAATTAACATTTACCTAAGACTTTTAATGGATATACCTTGGTAAAGTTTGCTACAAAGTAATTATAAACCTGGATAGGAAGATAAAAGAATGAGCATGTATGAGCCTCACAACAAGAGAACAGCATCCCTCTGCTGTTTCATATTCAGCAATAATGCTAGAAAGCCACTAAAATATTAGAATTCCTTTTAGTGGATTTACGTAACAACTGTCCCTTTACAGGCAAGGCCACTGAAAAAGCTTTACTAGATCTGAATTTTAGTTTCTGTAAATTATGTACTAGACTGATGCTTACAACATGAAACATTGGTGCAATGTTTTAAAACTTCAAAACAACACAGTATGTAGGCTTCCATAAATGATATGCATAAGTCACATACAAAAAAACCAAACCACGAAACCCCAGAGACTTAATAGTCAAACCCATCTAATATACCATGACCCCTCTTTCTAAAGTATAGGCACACCACAAGAACTTCCCATTATAAGTTAAGTAAGAAAAAGTCCTTTTAATGGAGAATGGTCTAAATACACTTGGAAGAAACTGTTCCCTTCTGTGTATGCATGGAAGAAGAAAAGTTCCTAATGTAAAGGTACAGCTATGTGAACACTTGTCCACCTTCTATGAATCACAATGTAAGCATGTATCAAATATGGTGCCCTAAACACCATATTTCAGACTTTAAAGTTCTGTTCTACAAGGTCCATAGTTAATAGTATACCTAATGCTTGAAGTAGTATGCTTATATTCTTCAAGCAATTTCTATATTCACCTATACATTCCGTTATTTTAAGGACATGTATCATAAGTACTATTTTACCTCTAAGTGAATGACTTTTATTGTTTTTAACTCTACACAATTCAGTAAACCCTCTCCTGCACATCAAAGGCTTATCTGCCTCATCTAAGATTGAGAAGCAAAAAGAACTTAAAGGAAACAAAAACTAATTTAAACAACTCTCATAACTGGCAAGAATATGAAGTTTATGCTCTTTTTGAAGAAGTCTACCCTCAAGACACATTTTACAAAAAGGATTAATGCAGCTTGCTTGCTACAACCTCTAAGTCCAGAGTGCAATGATTGTAGAAGACTGCTTTATCTCCCTCAATAATCCTAGTATTCAGGCATTAAAATATTAGAAAATACTCAGTTGCTCTGAAAGTCAGGAGTAACAACAGATACAAGTGCACTGAACAGGCATGAAATACTTCAACGTTTTATTAAAGCTCAGTAATTGCATCCTCTCCTTGGAAACTGCCTGCGCTGGTTCCTGAGAAACTATCCACCATGGAAAGGTTAAAAAGTTTCTGACTGGAGTCCAGAACCACTCTCTTGAATAGACGATCAATCTTTGCACCTGAATGGAAGTGTGAAAGCCTCTGTACATAGGAAAACAGATTCAGCCAAACACCTTATAGCTTATATAAAACAATTCTACAGTATATGCTAAAGCGTTCTCACATTCTTGAGTAAGAAAAAGCACGTAAAAAGTACAAAAGACTCATAATGAAGATTTTCTTTTCCCTTAACATTTTTTCCAATGAACACAAAAATGTATCTGCTTAGAAATGAAAGGCCTATAGATAAAATTTCCCATTTCTAGAAGATTGTTTCTTTTAAGCTCCATATGTTACATGCAGCTCAGCTGCTTCACAAAGCTGAGGAAAAGGACCTACAGCAAAATAGTTGAAGGCTAAAATATACCAAGAAACAAACTGAAGAGCCCTTAAGATCATTCCTAAAAGTGTCATTCAGTACCTCAAGGACATGAAGCATGGCTACACAAGACTACCAGCTTGGAAAGCCAAAGCTTTATCTGCACAGCAGTGTATTGGAGCAGAGTAAGAAGGAAACACTATTCTAAGATTCACAGTGAAACTTGCAAGTATCTGGACAACCGTGGTATCTAGAAGCTTGCCAGAAGCACATTCAGGATTTGCCTTTTCCTACTCATGACAGGACAACAGCGCTTGTCAGATTCTTAAAAAAGGCTAAAGTTAAGCCTTAACCTATGTCAAAGGTACACGGCATATACCAGTGAAGAAAGAGCTCTTCAGACCAGTATGAAAACGCACCCAACTGTAACTTCTCTTACTGAACTGTTTCTCTAAATTTAAGAGGCCAGGTGTTTCCTCTTACAAATAGGGATCACTGCTATGGTGACAGACCAAACAGTGTCTGGCAAAATGATAAAAGAGCTTGCTGGAAAGCAAGTTATTTTTTGTTAAGTGACTCCCTTTTTAACCAAAAAAAAAAAAAAAAAAAAAAAAAAAAAAAGCAGCAGCTTTTTTACCACCTCCAGCTGACTTTAGTAAGACCTCTGGGAAAAAAACCCAATGTTTTTTGCCATAAGATTCCCAATAAAAAACAATCCAAGACTGACATATATATCCTATGATTTGAACAGAAATTTAAGGCTCTAGTTGATATCAAGAATCACAGTAAATGGAAGAGTAGCCTAAACTGTCTACAGAGGTTTCATCCCTTCGATTTCCTTTCCCAATGAAATTTATCTTCTTCATGCTTATAGATACAAATACACTTAATTCCTCTGTTGTGGAAATTAAGATTCATAATAGATTTTAACCTATCAGCAGCTGAACCAAAAAGTCAAGAGACCCTTCAAAATGAACAATAAATGACAATTAACAAGAATATTGGTAAGTTATGCAGAAAAGCGTTTCAATCTTTGAAATCGCAGTGAAGAAAGAACAGAGCGAGACAGGTCTTTTTACAGCTCTAGTAATTTGCTTACTATTAATGCAAAAAGCTACTGTGCCTCTTTGCTAAAGCCTAACTATACCGAAGACCTCACACAACATCTCTTGAATTATGAACACCTCCATTTGAATTATCTCAGCCAAATGAGCCAGAAGATACTGGAATTTCTTGCATTTATTATGCAAAATAGCCTGAGTGAATTGTCATTCTTCCTCCTCTTCACCTGAGTCAGTGCTCAGAAGGTCCTCAGCCTAAGAGGATCAGGGCAGAGAAGACGCTTTTGGTGGGAACAAAGAAACAGCTAAGCAGACCGACAATGTTTCACAGAAGTCAATGACTTACCATCTAAAGTGGTAAGAAAGAAAAATGAGAATAGCTGGTATAAAGGTCTGGTGCATATGTCACTACAAATGTTCAAAGTGACTGAACAATGTAAGAATGGTTCAATATTCACTGCTATTTGAGGTTTTTAGGGCATATGCAAATGTGCAAGCATTCGAAGAATTAAGATCAGTAATGTAAATTGCCTAAAGAAGCTTTAGTATTTGTTTTAAAACAAACACTTGCTTTTAAGGAAATTACTATGGTAAGTGTCAGGAATACATGCACTGTAGCTCCTTCTTTGTATGAACTGGAAGAAAAGCACTAGAGGAACTGAAGGTACTGACATTTACTCTGTTTGCAATCTATAACATTGTGTTTATGGTTTATTATATTACACTGAGTGTAACTTCCACATACTTCTCTGCCAATTACAAAAGCCACCTTCTCTGAAAAGAGAAAATTCTGAAGAACCAGTACATCAAAAGCTTCTGGCAGCCAGGTGTACAGAGAGTCAACTTTGTAGTGCAGTTACCTAAATCAAGGCTTAAAGCTTTATCCTCTGCTGTTGATTTGAACATTATCGTGAAGGGCACTTGCCACCTAAACACACATATGATTATGTCTCACATTTTTTCCTACTCATTTTCATAGGGTTATAAATTATCATTTAGTAGTAAAATTAGGAAAAAAAAAATACCTTAAAATCAATTCCTCCTACAAAGATGCGATTTGGAGTAACTGTTCCAAACCTTGGAGCACTGGTCAAATTATTTAATGGCACTGGTGACACAGTGTTGGGCGATGAAGATAAAGATTCTGTTTGCGTCTGATTTGTGGTCTGCTGATTGAAAGAAAATGTTTTCAAATATTTTCAGTATATTTCACATTATAAGCTATTAAATAAAAAAATTCTCAACAGAAAATACATACAGAATTTTTTGGGAGGCACAGCAAATGCTGAACAACTGAACATTAACCACGTATTTTCATTCAGAATGCAGCTCGAAGTATTAAACATAGGCTTGGTTTTAAGCAATTCAGTAACTCAGTGAATATGCTACAGTCTGAAATTTGACTTTTATTTTAATACCTTTCTTAATTAGACATTTAGGACCTAATCCCCCAATGTTAGTTTTTCTGTTTGCACAGCACCCTGCTGTATGAATCCCAAGTTATGAATTCTACTTCAGACATTAATTTATACCTATGAGAAGCCCCTTAGTTTAAGCCTATGTAGAAAAGACCTTTTCAGCTTAACCTGTACTCTTACACACATCTACCAAACTCTCTGCAACAGCTTCTGTTTGATTTTCCAAGTGCCAAGCACCCAGAATTCCATCACATAAAATCAATAAGCTTATCACAACTGATGAGAACAGCACTTGTAGACTAGTCTTAATTCAACACTCTCTTGGCCTACAAACACAGTGATCCTAACAGATATTCTCACCGCAAAAGAAGAACCAGACTGCTCTTGCCCCACTAAAGGAAAGGAATGAGTGCAGTATGGTGGGAACTTCATGGAAACCATTATTTAGTGAAGTCCGCCTGATGTTTTAACTTCCACCCTGCTTAACACTTGTGATTGTGAAACAATACAGACTTGCATTTCATTGGAAACCTTTTCAGAACAAACTAATACCGCCTTACATAGTAAACCATAACTGTGAGATGATAGCGGGAAAGCAGCCACGTAGTACTGCCACTAACTTCTCCAATAGGAATCGCAGTAGAGGCTTCAAGGCCATTTTTGCTGTTCCCGTCCTCCCCCAAATAACATTTACTAAACCAAATACTGGGTGGGCTGTAGTGAGCTAACAGTACCACTAAGGAAGAAGCCCAAAGTGGAAGACAAGCAGCTGCCACAGGCTGCAGATAACGAGGCTAACAGTAAGCAGAGTAGTGAAAACTAGAAGTAGAAATCTAGGGGTATCAGCCTCCAACCTTCCTTTGGAAAGGATTTAAAGATAAATGTATTTTTTCTTACCATTGTGCAACTCTTAAGCTTTGTAGTGAGTATGAACAAAACACATGCAAGCGTATTTTAAAAACAGAAAGCTACTGCATCCAGTAAAGTTCTTTTGCTTCTTGTGGTACCCCTATCTTTTAGCCTCTCAAAAACTAGAGCAGAAAATTAAGTGCTCTTAAACACTTCTCCTCACAGAATCCCCCTTTCATTTACACCATCTGGTGTACTTCCTGATTTTGCCCCTCTCTTATTCACAGAACAGCACTTTCTTATCTCTGCTTTTAAACATTCCTGAATAAAACCAAATCACTAAAATACAAATCTTAGGGAGAACATAGAAAAAATGAAGGCTGACACTTAAAGTGCAGTGAGAAATGGAAGATCAGTAATTAAGAAGAATGTTAGAAAAAGAGTTGTCTTTTTGTTTGTCCTGGAAGCCCCTCTAGGATAATTTGGTATTTCCTTAGCTACCTGAGAATTAGTCCTATTAATTCTGAGTAATGGATTAATGCCATTAATTTGCATACCTTAAAGACAATAAATTCAGCTTAATCCATGCCTTTTTTGTTTTAGGGAAGACGAAAGTTCTTTCCAAACTGACTAAAACATACACATTTGGGGCACAGAAAATCCTCAAGTCTTTCACCTGATCTATTCAGGAGAAAACATGCATTCTCCTACTGGGAATACTACCCAAGAGTAGTGCCTAACCTGAAAAAAAACCCCACTTATAGGCAAGGAGCAATCATAAACGCTACACTCCCAAAGGCTTTAGAGCGAGGCATGTTTTCTGCCGAGAACAACTTTTGAAGGACAATGAAACAGGCTACTCCATCTCCCACACAAAATACAGTATTTGACTTGTATAATCATCTGGCAATCGTGTACAGCCCTAAAATATCTGAATTTAACTATAAAGTAACAATTAACAGTTGACACGACAGCCAAAATTTATTCCTTACCTCAATGATCTCAAATTTCATTTTCTCCACACAAGTTTTAAGAGTTGTCTTATTAAAAACCCCACCCAAACCCCAAATGGAAAAAATGAGGAATGAAACACATCACTTGTGAACTCCCAACAGTAAGCCCCAATGAATTTTGTAACATTAAAATCTGTATTCTGATAGCTATCTCAAACATCATTTCCTCTCTTTAATGCCAGTACAGCAGTAAAAAAAAGTTATTTAAAAAAAGATCTAAGTGCTAACAACATGTCACTTGCCTAATCATTTGTATTTCTACAGGGTTTTAAAATCACATGTTATCATTTCCCTTTTCCAAACAGTATGGGTATGTATATTCATCAGTATTTTTATGGGCTGTTTCGTGTGTTTGCCAACTGCTCTTTACCAGAACTGGTAAATTCTCATTTTTATGTTGAACGCATCCACAGTCAGACGACCAAACACTACAAAGGCCTGATGACTAATCCCACCTTACTCCCTAAACAACTCCCTCTTTACAGTCCGTGCCCTATAACCTCAGAAATCAGACTCCTATCTTTCCCGGGTATCATGTACCGCCGTAGACCCGAGGCAAGGGGAACGGTTTACCAGAACCTGAAGCCAATTTTTATGTTGAACGCATCCACAGTCAGACGACCAAACACTACAAAGGCCTGATGACTAATCCCACCTTACTCCCTAAACAACTCCCTCTTTACAGTCCGTGCCCTATAACCTCAGAAATCAGACTCCTATCTTTCCCGGGTATCATGTACCGCCGTAGACCCGAGGCAAGGGGAACGGTTTACCAGAACCTGAAGCCACCCCAGGGCGCCGCACCACAGAGGAAATGGCGCCGTCCGGCGGGGGTGGGGACAGGG